AGAACCAGTTTGAGGCCCAATGGTGATAACACAAACCCCACTGATGAGGGGGTAAAGACTTTCTGTATATATTTCAGATTTCAATATTAATGTCAAAAATACGTAGTATGATTTTACATAGGATTTGTGCTACATTAGAACAGTCAAGACAAATATCACTTAAGTAAAATAAACATTAAATATTAAATAACCAGAAAAATTAAATAAGGAGTAAACACTAAACTAATCTGGGAATCTGCTATTGCAACACATCCAATGAAGTGGTTTAAAACCAGTATAAAAAAAGGATTAGGACTAAGTACGTTCCAGTCGACTTGGAATACACGAAGCTCATTCCAGAAGCGTGTTGAAGAACTTCCGTGGGCTTTGGTGGGAGTTTGCTGTCTGGCAAGAGTAGTTTGAAGATTAAATGGGGACATGAGAGAAGCCTCAACTGGATGGATTGTCCCCTTGGTAACGTCCTTGCAGACGGCCAATTCACCCCCACCAGAAGCGATTTGCAGTTTCTCAAGTCGCTCTGGACACTGCATTAAATGGTCACAGAATCATAGAGTCATTGAGTTGGAAGAGGCCTCATGGGCCATCCAGTCCAACCCCCTGCCAAGAAGCAGGAATATTGCATTCAAAGCACCCCCAGCAGATGGCCATCCAGCCTCTGTTTAAAAGCTTCCAAAGAAGGAGCCTCCATCACACTCTGGGGCAGAGAGTTCCACTGCTGAACAGCTCTCACAGTCAGGAAGTTCTTCCTCATGTTCAGATGGAATCTCCTTTCTTGTAGTTTGAAGCCATAGTTCCTCGTCCTAGTCTCCAGGGCAGCAGAAAACAAGCTTGCTCCCTCCTCCCTCTCACATATTTATACATGGCTATCATGGCTAAACATGCCCAGCTCGTTAAGCCGCTCCTTATAGGGCTTGTTCTCCAGATCATAGCGTTGGAAGAGACCTCGTGGGCCAACCAGTCCAACTTCCCGCCAAGATACAGAAAAATCGTCGATGGGGCCTTAAGGAGCCACAACGCCCACCCCAGTCGCCCATTACGAGCAGCAACAACACTGTATTGAACTTAAACCGCTCCATTCCCCCTCCCCAGTTTTCCTGATCTCAAGAGACAAACCGATGAGGAAACTCACCTGCCAGGCCAGCAGCATCCTGGGCTTGAGTGGAAGCGCAGTCTTCCAGAAGGAAGCGGGGTGGAGAGGATGGTGGCCTCCTCCTTCGTCGGGAAAAGACGTGGTATTTCTGTCCACAGCAGAGACCTCTGGACCCTCGTAAAATGCGCCACAGGGAAGGAGGAGGTGGCCTTGCCTTGCCTTCCGTCGCATCCCATTTCCAAAGCGGCCTCCTCGTTTGGAAAGCGGAAATGAACGGCGCTCCTTTCACTTCCAGGTAAACAAATGCATTTAGGCCTGGTCTAGTGCTAAACTGTGAGGAAAAAAAATAATCCATCCTCTGCTTCCTACTCGTTTCAAGCTAGATACCTTCACCTGATGTTTTGTAAAGCCCTAACACACACCTGGAAAGAAGTGAGATTAGTATTTCTCCCTGTACGATTTCCTAGTCACGATTCACTAGCCGGCACCTGCTCCTTCTGGCGAGACACACACACACACACACACATTTTACGCCAGATTATATCCAACGTGGCACATTTCGAGGGTTTGACTGGGAACAACTCTTGTGATTTCCCCCTTTTGCCAAATATATAGTTGCATTTCTCTGAGGGTGAAGAAAACATAACTCCTACCATCTATTCCTGCTTTAAAACATGGCTGAACGGACTGGGGAAAAAACTATTGGGTTAGTTTTTCGGGCTGTATTGCCATGTTCTAGAAGCATTCTCTCCTGACGTTTCGCCTGCATCTGTCGCAAGCATCCACAATACAAAAAAAGCTATTACCACTTCCTTCTTTAGAGGAAATACTGTTGCATTTCTCTGGGGTGTCAATAAACCACAACAGCTGAAGAAAACATTTCTACCATTCATTCTTACTTATAATAAGGCCTGAATATGATAAACATTAATATAATATATAATATTACAGGTCTCACAACTTCTGAGGATGCCTGCCGTAGATGTGGATGAAACGTCAGGAGAGAATGCTGCTGGAACGTGGCCATACAGCCTGGAAAACTCACAGCAACCCATTAATATAACATCTCATGTGTTTTACTGTTGGGACTCTTGCAACTTTCCTATTGAGAGGGATTGACATATATATAGTGTTTTGCATTTCTCTGGGGTGACAATAAACAGCAGTTGAAGATAACACAACTCAGAGCATCCTTTCCTGCCTTTTAAAAGAGTCTGAATATGATGAACATCAGGCATATAATAATCATGTCTCCTACTTTTGGCAAAGGAATATGGTTGGAACTTGGTTCTCCTTTTCGTTCAAGCCTCTGGAAAATCTAGGTCTCCCCATTTATTTATTCCACGATCCCTAAGGCATTAGAAAATCCTAGAATCCTCAGGCCCTTCCACACTGCCCTATATCCCAGAATATCAAGGCAGGAAATCCCACGTTATCTGAGTGTGGACTCAGATAACCCAGTTCAAAGCAGATATTGTGGGCTTTTCTGCCTTGATATGTTGGGGTATAGGGCTGTGTGGAAAGGCCCCCAATCCCTGTTTTGCAGATTCATAAGAAGGAAAAGTTAAATATTTATAAAGCTAAACAAAATCTCACCCGACCTCAATCAATAAAACAGTCTTCTCCAGATTTCTCCTAAAAACATTCACTAGGAGAAAAAAATTCTTATTATTTGAACTGGGAATTCAAAATGGGAAGGCCTGATGCTGGCCTAGGTGGCACCAACTCTAGTTTTGATCAATACATTTAGACAATTTGAAATGCTTTCCAGTTTCAAAAATGATGAATAATCTCAAGCCTGAGTTGCTGTGAGTTTTCCGGACTGTATGGCCATGTTGCAGAAGCATTCTCTCCTGACGTTCAGGAGAGAATGATTCTGGAAGATGGCTATACAGCCCGGAAAACTCACAGCAACACAGGGATTTCGACAATGAAAGCCTTTGACAACGCAATCTCAAATCTGGATTGTTGTAGGTTTTTCGGGCTATATGGCCATGTTCTAGAAGCATTCTCTCCTGAAGTTTCGCCTGCATCTATGGGAGGCATCCTCAGAGGTTGTGAGGCAGGCAACCTCTGAGGGTGCCTGCCATAGATGCAGGCGAAACGTCAGGAGAGAATGCTTCTAGAACAGGGCCATATAACCCGAAAAACCTACAACAACCCAGTGATTCCAGCCGTGGAAGCTTTCGACAATACATTAGACCTTAATACTGATTAAATCTGGTGATTTTATCCAGATTGATGGCTATTTTTATACAATACAATCTCAAATCTGTTTCCCAACCCTTCATATATTGGAAAGCAAAATAGAAAGTATGGAACACATTTGAAAGCAAAATATAAACCATTGGTATCTGTTCATTTAACTGATACCTAATGTTCCCTTTTAAACATAATACTTTATATTATAGAGATAGAATTATTTCTCAGTTTCTAGGGGTAAATATTCTGAACCTAGACAATAACTTGCTATATGTCGGTTTAAGGTAAACACAATATTGCTCCCCAGAACCACAAAGGTCCCATGCTGCAGACCCACAGACAACGCTTTAAAACTGTCAAAATAATGTACATTTATTTCATTCAAATACAAAATGTTGCATTCATAACCGGAGTCTGAAATGTCTCTTTAAGAGTTAGTCTTCTTTTCTTTGGTGACTCTGGTTTGATTTTTTTTGTTTAGTCACCTGGACTTAGAAAAAAAAATCATATTTTCACCATCTGCTATATAACAATTCGCCTAATGGGAGAGGGAAGCTTAAATACCGTCCAGGACCCTGTTGATTCCTTCAGTCAGAAGTACTTTAAAGATGCCAGTGATCCTCTCTACTTACAGAAGTTCAGGGGAATCAAAGGAGCGAGGCTTTTATCCCAACTAAGCTTTCATATTTAGGATGTCAGTCCCACCAAATACTATGGGGACAACAGAGTCAAAGGCAGGGTCCCCTGGGCAATCCTCTCATACCAGAAGCAACTTGCAGTTTCTCAAGTCTCAAGAAGCTACAGGAAAGAGCTTTCCTGGTCAAATAAAAAGATTGTGAAATTATATGCTACACACACACACACACATATACACATACATCCCCTGGGCAACGTCCTTGAAGACGGTCAATTCTCTCACACCAGAAGCAACTTGCAGTTTCTCAAGTCGCTCCTGACACGGATATATATATATGTGTGTGTGTGTGTGTGTGTGTCAGGAGCGACTTGAGAAATCGCAAGGGTGTGAGAGAATTGGCCGTCTTCAAGGACGTTGCCCAGGGGACACTGCCTATATATATATATATATATATATATATATAGAGAGAGAGAGAGAGAGAGAGAGAGAGAGAGAGAGAGAGAGAGAGAGAGAGAGCACATAATTTCACAATCTTTTTATTTGGCCAGGAAAGCCCTTTCCTGTAGCTTCCCCATCATAATATTCCTCCCCCTCGGTATCAAAGCTAACCCGCAGAACAGAATAAGATCAATAAGGCATGTATTAAAAGCTCGGTAGTAGTGGAAAACACTAACGATCCGAAGGCCTTCAACCAGGAATGGCGTTTATTTTTGTTGGAAATTAATTGCTTTTATTTTGGAAAACTTGTAAAAAAAATCGGGTATTGTTATTATTATTATTTTACAATTAGAATGGTACAATAATACTTGCAGATCATCATAAACAATATTCCTCGTAAAGAATTAGGTGTAAAGTACAAAATAATCAAAGAAAGGGAGGGATTCCATAAACCTATTATGATACAAAAAAAACACAGGTTAAAATAAGAATTGATAATCTCGGTTTTCTTCTGTGTAAACATTGTTAATACAAAAGCATGGAAGTCAAGCGAGAAGGCCTCTTCCTCCTCTCTCTCGAGGTCTTCTTTTCCTATTTCCTCCCCTTCCCATGGCGTCACTGTTTGTCTATATCTTTTGCTACAGTTTGCAGTTATTTTAATCCCTGGGATCTTTGCAATGGGAACAAAATGGGGAGGAGAGGGGTCCAAAAATATCAAAACAGGCGGTGTCCCTTTGCTTTTTTCTGGGAAGGAATGGAGGAAGGGCCACTCCTCTGCCTTCGTCTCTCTTGATGTTACAAATGGCTTCATGTAAACACAGCTACTGAAACCGGGACGAATGCAGGCTCCTAGTCCAAGTCTCTGCTCGTTCCACCCGAGGGAAACTCTCAGAGAGAAAGCAAAACAGAGAGACCAATCCTACCTGGAGGGCCGGACACAGGTTGAACAACTGGAAATCCTCGTGGGCAAGTGTTCCATGTTGTCTCTTGATGGGGAAAGTGTTGGGGACCAAAAGAAGGACCATGTTTGTCTTTTGTTGAGGAAGGAATGAAGGGCCACTTCTCTGCTGTCCTTCAAGGAAGGAAGGAAGAACTCCTTCTTGGCATAAATAGAGGGATCGAAGGCTGGGGAGCCTGGAGAAAGCACACACTGAGGCGTCTAGTCAAAGTCTCTCCTCTCATTCCATCTCTCCTTCCATCCAAAACCCAAGTAGATGGTTAACTGCTGGACGAGATCAGAATATCAAACACACACAGAGAGAGACCAATCCTACCTTGGAGTCCGGACAGTTTGGCAATGGGAAATTCTCTCGGCGAAGTTTTCGACACTGTTCAGGGCCATCCCTTGGCGGAGGGGAGGGTCCCCAGGGAAGGGGTGGATGGACCCTTCTCTGCCCTTCGTCCCTCTGTGTTAGAAATGGCTTTGCATAAACAGAGGTACCAAACATTGAGGCGTCTAGTCAAATTCTCTTGCGGTGCCAACCTTGGCCATCTCTAGGCAGAGGGTGCCTAGGGAAGGGATGGAGGAACCCTTCTCTGTCCTGTGTTAGAAATGGCTTTGCATAAACAGAGGTGCCAATCAAACCGGCACATATTTCGGCGTCTAGTCAAAGTCTCTTCTGGTGCCACCCAAAGCCACAGGGCCATCCTAGGGAAGGGATGGAGGAACCCTTCTCTGTCCTGTGTAAGAAATGGCTTTGCATAAACAGAGGTTCCAACCAAACCGGCACATATTTCGGCGTCTAGTCAAAGCCAAAGGGGCTGGCTAACTGCAGGAAGAGCTCCGAGCGAGAGAGAGGGCCCAGGAGCAGTTCTAGCAGTTGGGAATCCTGGCGGCGAAGTCCTGGGCGCTGGCTAAGGCGGCCCCTTGGTGGAGGCTCCCCAAGGAAGCGAGGGCCGGGGGTGCCAAGGGGCGCGCCAGGGAGGATTGCGGGGCGCCCCCCTCCCCCGCCGGCGCCGCGGGGCTGAGTCCTCCCCCGATGAGGCTCTCGATGGAGAAGGGCGACCTGGGCACGGCTTTGGCGGCGGCCTGCAGGGAGGCCGGGCTGAGCTGGGCCGGGAAGGCGAAGGCCGGGCTCGTCCTGGAGGGCAGCTCCGGGGCCGGGAGCAGCGGAGGCGGAGGAGGGGGCTGTGGTTGCTGCTGCTGTTGCTGCTGGTGGTGGTGGTGGTTCTGCCGCCTTGCTGCCGGGGCCTGGAAGGCGAAGAGGGCCGAGTGCGGGGCGTAGGGCTGGAGCTGGAGGCCGTACCCGCAGCTGTAGGGCCCGTAGGCGAAGGGGGGTGGCGGAGGGGGAGGCGGAGGGGGCGGCTGGTGTTGGAGGAAAGCGGCGGGCTCCATCCCGCGGAGGAGGAGGAGCTCGGGCCCCGCGGGCCCCACGGAGGGCACCCCTTGTTGCTGCTGCTGTTGCTGCCTCTTGAAGCGCTTCCTGCGCCGGAGGAAGGAGCCGTTGTCGAACATGTCTGCCGACTCCGGGTCCAGCGTCCAGTAGTTGCCCTTGCCCGGGTTGCCCGGCTCGCGGGGGATCTTGACGAAGCAGTCGTTGAGCGAGAGGTTGTGCCGGATGGAGTTCTGCCAGGCCGGGAACTTCTCCCGGTAGTAAGGGAAGCGCCCGCTGATGAACTCGCAGATCTCGCTCAGCGTCAGGCGCTTCTTGGCGCTCTGCAGGATGGCCATGGTGATCAGCGCGATGTAGGAGTAAGGGGGCTTCACCAGGCTGTGCTTCCCCGCCGGAGCAGACCCCGGCCCGGGAGGGGAGCACGAGCCCGGCCCCGCGACGACGCCCGAGGACGAGCAGCGCAGGGAGCCCTGCTGCGGAGACGCCGAGGAAGAGGAGGAGGAAGGCGAGGAGGAGGAAGAGGAGCCCCCGGTTGTCCGCGCCCGGGGCAGGCACAGCTCCTCCTCGCAGCCTTCCTCCTCCTCCTCCTCTTCCTCTTCCTCCTCGTAAGGCCGCCGGGGGAGAGGCTCGCCGTCCGCCTCTTCTTCCTCGTCCTCGTCTTCTTCGTCCTCCTCGTCCTCGTCTCCTTCTCCGACCACGTCGATGTCCGTCTCTTCGGCCAAAACCGAGGCGGCATCGGACATCTCCGAGCTCAGGGTCATCGCTGGGCGCAGCCGGGCATAAGCAAAAGAGGAGGAGGAGGAGGAGGAAGAGAAAGAGGAGGAAGAGGAGGAGGAAAGGGAGGGCAAGAGGGGTCTGGCAGGAGGGGGCTTCTGGTGTTAAAAGGAAGGGAGTACTCCTTCTTTCTCTCCTCCTCCTGCGCCTTTACCACCACCTCCTTTTTCTCCTCCTACTCTTCTTCCTCCTCTTCCTCCTTTTTGCTTCTCCTCCTCCTCTTCTTCCTCCTCCTTTTCTTCTCCTTCTCTTCCTCCTCCTTTTTCTTCTTCACCTCCTCCTTTTTCGTCTTCTCCTCCTCCTCTTCCTCCTCCTCCTTTTTCTTCTTCTCCTCTTCCTCCTCCTCCTCCTTTTCCTTCTTCACCTCCTCCCTCCCTCCTCCTGTTTCCTCTTCTTCGCCTCTTCCTTCTCTTCCTCCCCTTTTCCCTTCTCTTCCTTCCTCACCTCACCTCCTTCTCCGCCTCTGCCCGGTTCCTCCTTCCCTCCACCGGTTCCTTCTTCTTCCTTCTCCTCTTCCTCCTCCTTCTTTTCTCCTCCTCCTCCTCGGGAGGCGCGCCGGGGCAAGTTGCGTGCTTTGCGCCGCTGCCTTCAGACATGAATGAGACCCAGGAGGGGGGTGGGGACGGTTTCGGGGCTGGGGGGAGAGGGCGAAAGGGAGGGAGAGAGGGGCTCCGCCTTGGCCGGGAGAGACAGGAGGGGGCGGGGTGAGCCGCGAAGAGGAGCGGCAGAGGCGGCGGCGTTTAGGGAAGGCGAGCCTTGGGCGCGGGGGTCTGAGAGGGGGCGGCCCTTTTCTCCTCTCTTCTCTTCGCCCTCGCCGGCGGAGGGCAGAGGGGCGTCACGTGGCTCTCCGCGTCACAGGCCACAGCAGGGCGAAGGGGGTGGATGGCTGGCTGGCTGGCTGGGTGGGAGGACACGGGAGACACACGCAAGCAGACCCTTCCGGGAGAAGTCATAACAAGATCCCCCGCGTGGCTCCTCCAGTCTATGACCAATCTGATGCGTGCTGGGGAAGACCGATTCCTTCTTTCCCAAAGACAAGTCTTTGCCATCAGGGATTTGCGAAAGAATGACGGACACACTGCTGGGGAGGTTGTGGGTGGGATTTTGAGGGGAGGGATGGTGGAATTTGAATGTAATTCGAATAGCATTGCTTGCGTTTTTAATTTTTGCATCTCGCCACAAATGCTTTATTGTTTCCTACAGACCTCAGTTGGGAGGTGTTAGCTGGCCCTGATTGATTCTCCCCTGCTTTTCAAGTATTGCTCTTCATTTACTGTCCTGATTTTAGAGTTTTTTGACTCAACAACTATCATGTCAGGCTACACAGAGAAGCCATTGAAATCCACAAGCATGTGGACGATTTCAAAATCATGAAGGAAACCATGAAAATTAACAAAAACTGGCTACCAATATTTAAAATCTCTAAAATCAGGATAGTAAATAAAGAGCAACACTCAAACAACAGGGGAATTCCAGACAAGAATCAATTAAGGCCAGCTAAAAAACCCCAACAAAGGTTTCCCCCAGACTTTGAAACTGCAAGGCCATTAAATGCTAATTAAGGCTGCCAACTGCAACATTCAGAGGGGCTGAGGGGGAAAAGGAACGGGCCTGAGGCCGTTAGGGATGGTGGGAGTTGGAGTCCAAAACACCCGGAGGGCCCAAGTTTGTCCATGCCTGCACTTGTCCATGCCTGCCCCCTCTCCATATATCCACAATCCTGATCCCTTGAATGGCCCCATTGTGGAATTAGGAGGGGTGGGGGGTAGGCTGTCGAGCGGGAGAATCAGTCCATTTTCTCCTCTCTCACGCACACGTGAGAGTGCCTACGGCCCCTTATACCTCCACCATTGCACCTTCCCATCCCTCCTCCAGCCTCCCTCCTTTCTTCCCTGCCTTGGAGGATGTTGTTTGGACGGAGTGTGTGCTCGCGTGGCAGGGACTCGCGTGGGCGAGGGTTAGGAAAGGTGAGCTAGGTCCTGGGGGGRAAACACGCGCGGGGCGCAGTGCAGTGTCACCATCCTTTTCTCTTCCCAAGCCTCTGCGATTTCCCTGGGTGGAAGCGCCCATGTCTTGTCTCCCTTGGAATATTTCTCGGAGCAAAGCAGGGGTCAGAAAGCGAGGCAGGGGAGGGCTGGAGGGGTCTCTCGTGTCCTTACCCTCGCTCACGCGAGTTCCTGCCACGCGAACACACACTCCGTCCAAACAACATTCTCGTCCACGCTTCACCCCCCCCCCCCTCCATTCCTTAGGAAGGAAAGTCGGGATCAAAAGCTATTGGAGAGTGTGGCGTGAAATAGAAGGAAACTTGACAACTTGAGCAAACTCTGACAATGCCTGAATTTTCAGGACCGAGTTTGGGGGTTGGGAGGGAAGAGAGTCTCTATGATTTCAGTGCAGGGTGGTGGAGAAGGAAGGACTCGCCTGAGAAATAACATTTGCCCAAAATCTGGATGAATAACATTTGGGCAAGACCTCAGTGCAGGAACACAACAAATGGACAAGTTCTCAGTCTCTCCCCTTGAAGGGATCTTTGTGTGTGTGTGTGTGTGTGTGTGTATAGGCGACTTCTTAGGGCATTCTCCTGCAGGCAGGGCCTTCTCTGAGTTCGGTCCTTGGTGGGAAGAAAGAGCTCAAAGGGAGAATGCTTTGAGGTGTTCTGCCCAATCGACAGGACACAAATATGCCTGCATTTCCACTACACAGAGGTCAGGCACAAAGGGAGGGAGATCTTCATTTCCTAACCTCAAGGCTACATTGTTATAAGTATAACATTATTACTATTACTATTACCGACCAACACAAAATGTGATGCCTCAAATGTTAGTGTTGGGTTTCATCCCTGGACTACACAAGTCTCTTGTGTCATCAAGTTTCCAGACCTCAATTAGTAGCTAGACTAGAGATAGGATTAGGTTGAGAGATTCCTCCCCCCCCCCCCCTACATACCTATGTTTCCCCAAAGGACTTTGTCTTTACTCTTCCTCCTTGCCACTGTCTCCTCCCCTTTGGTGAATTCTATGAGGGAATTTCCTTTATAAAGGTATTTTTATTGCCATGGGCTGAACATGTGGCCATTTGTCATTTTTCCAGTCTCTTCTGCTTTTTCTTTCTACCTATGAAGAGGCGCATTTTTCCTCTCCCTAGGCAAAATGTAGCAGCATTTAATTTTTACCCTTTCCCCTCTTTAGAAGATAAGATTTGGTAAGCTAGTTAGCTTCATTACCTTTTCTATCAAGAATGTAATTATTTTACTTCAATAAATACTTACTCTTTGAACTTAAAGTCCTGACTCTGCAATCCTGTGCCATCCTAAGGAATAGAAGCTTATCCTGGCTCATCACATGTAAGTTTTTGCTGGTTATAAAGTTTACTTCTGATATTATGCTATATTTATGGTGGAATCACCCTCAACTGAGGGTTATTTTTGAGCCTAAAGCCTCAGATTCCCCAATAAAGGGTTATGGGCCCAGCATGCTTCCACTGCCAACAGTTAGTCCTGTTCCTGGCATATTTCACCTGCTGCTTTAAAAAATGGCACCAGTTCCCCCCATCAGCTGTAGTTTTTGAGATACACAACACATAACAACAACAACAACAACAACAACAACAACTTTATTATTAGACTGTCCTATCTCCCCAAAGGGACTCAGGATGGTTTTCAACATGTGTGGCAAACATTCAATACCAAAAAGGGGGGGGGGAAACATTCAAACAAATAACACCAGGACAAACCATATTGAACAATATAAAAGCAACCTTATTGGAAATTCAATAACCTATAGGAAATAACTGCACCATAACCTTATTGAAAAGGTAAAAATGATGTCACATAGGTTTGGCAAATGTGAATCTCCATGAACATGTGGAGACCACCTTTTGAAAACCACTAGTCAAGAAAAGTATGACCTTGTTAGAAGTCAACTCTTTGAACAAGTGATATTCATAAACATCCATGCAATGGCACACAGGTAATTCTGCTGATAAACTAAAGAACCATGCTTTTAAACTGCCAAGGATAAAGACATGCCACTACAGAAATATATTTGATTAGCAGAGGATGGTTGTTTCTTTGAAGTTGCAGTTGCCCAAAAAGATATGCACTTGAAACCTTTTAGTTAAAATATGCACTCTGTTTATACTACTTTGAAAAATAACATATCTTGTTTACTGACAAACTTTTTGTATATAGTCAGCATATTAGTCCAATGTCTTTAAACAAATAGATACAGTCCAAACTGTCTAACTCTACTCATTGAAGTCTTAAAACAGACATACAATCCACCTCCATTTAGGTCTAAAAGCACACTAAATACAAAATGGAGTACTGTGTCTGAAGCCCCTCCCACACTAAACAGTCAAACTGACAAATCAAAATGTAAATACAGTATAGGTTAACAATTATACACATTTACAGGTTGCTATTTCTAACAAACCTAACTCTAAACTTAATAACAGACAAAGTAATAATAAGAACTTAAAGATGCCCTATACCATTTCATCTTGCCTATAGAAAACAATGATAATAGCTCTATCTATGACTCTAGAGCAGGCATGGGCAAATTGGGCCCTTCAGGTGTTTTGGACTTCAACTCCCACAATTCCTAACAGCCTCAGACCCTTCCCTTTTCCCTTCCCTTTCTCTTAAGCGGCTGAAGGGGAAAAGGAAGGGGCCTGAGGCTGTTAGGAATTGTGGAAGTCCAAAGCACCTGAAGGGCCCAAGTTTGCCCATGCTTGTTCTAGAGCAGGGGTCTTCAAACTATGGCCCGGGGGCCAGATGCGGCCCTCCAAGGTCATTTACCCGGCTCAGGGTCAACCTAAGTCTGAAATGACTTGAAAGCACACAGCAACATCAACAATCCTATCTTATCAGCCAAAAGTAGGCCCACACTTCCCATTGAAATACTAATAATTTTATATTTGTTGAAATTGTTCTTCATTTTAATTATTGTATTGTTTTAAGTGTTTTTTTACACTACAAATAAGATATGTGTAGTGTGCATAGGAATTCATTTGTGTTTTTTTCAAATTATAATCCGGCCCTCCAACAGTTTGAGGGACTGTGACCTGGCCCCCTGTTTAAAAAGTTTGAGGACCCTGTTCTAGAGCCTATGAGGTCTATCCAGCACCATTTCCTGAATCAGGGCCCCAAATAACCCTAGGAACAGGCCTAAAAACCAAGATAGGTTAGGCTGCATATTTATATCATTATTCAATATCATCATCATCATCATCATCATCATCATCATCATCATCATCAATAAAACAATAATAATAATTTAATTACTATCATTATTAATAATAATAATAATAATAATAATAATAATAATAATAATTACATAGTTATTATAACATAGCCTTGGAGTTAGGGGGAGATGGGGATGAGGATGATAGTCGATGAAGAGGAGGAGGAGGAGGAGGAGAAGGATGAGGAGGAGGGTGATGATAATTACAAGCCTGTTGAAAGATGAAACGATTACAGATATTTGGGGTGAATGCGCTTGGAAATTCTTGTTAATTAACCTTTGAGACCCCCACTCCGCATGAGAGGAATCCTCAGATTTTAATAGTGCAATCCAATTCAGAGGTTTATTCCCAGGACAGTGGATGTGCTTTCAAGTCGCTGGTGACTTCCATAGGCTTTTCTTAGGCAAAGAATCACAGCCTCAGTATGCTTCTTTGGAAAAGACAAGTGACCTGAAAGGGATCCGATGGGGTTTATTAACTACCAAGGTCCTTGCTCGAAGAAAAAGTAAATAAGAGGAGAGACAACTCCTATAATACGACTTGAACACTTGTTGCTTGCCTTCAAGCCCTTTTCAGCTCAGGGCGGCCCT